AGAACCTAGAGAAAGAGGTAGAGCAGCAAAAAGCAGTAGCAAGACAGAAACAGTGATCTTCACAAAATTTAAAACAAAAGCTCCGCCACCACTAAAGAAAGGGGACTAAAAATCAATGCTGCTTGCAAAAACAGGCATGGCACAGGGGATATAAGGATGCAGGATTGATCCATGAGTTGTAAAAAATCATGTTTCTCTGTTTCTACCTGGAACACTTTAAGGGTGCACCTTTAGCCAAGATGCAGTAGTTAATCCTGAAAGCACTCTTGGCCCCATTTAGTACCAAATAAACCCACGTACTTAAACCTGGAAAGCAACAGCTTTGAATAAAAGGTGCTGTGTTCCCTATGAAGAGCCAGAAGCCTAACTCAAAAAGCCCCCAGTCCAAGAAGAGGGAGTTTGCAATAGAGAAACCAGTTTATCCCCAGGAGTCAAGAGGGCTGTGGCTTCTCTATGTCCCTCTCCTACATCATGACTGCAGGCAGTGAGCAGCACAAGTGAAACCAAATGGGGCAGCAGAGAATATTGCCAGGCACACACTAGTATCCTGACACTGTGCAGACAACCAGAAAGTCCCAAGATCCCTAAGCCAGGACTCCCAGATGAGCAGAGACCTTCCTTATGGTGATACTTCAGTACATGTCCCACTCCCCAGATAAAGAGTGAAGAACAGCCTCCCTCCCCAGAGATGCCTTTGAGTCCTGAAAAAGCTACACTGGCCATAATAGCTTTGTTTTACGTATTACATGTACTGTAATACTGAAAACTGGTCTGCAGTTATGTAACTGCAAAGGAAATGGCTCTGGTCCTGCTCAGCCCAGCTGAAAACACCATCCCACGACACCTCCACCGCAGTCACAGCTCCCAGGGGCTGCAAGGAAAGAGGAGCGGTCCTGCCTGCGAGCAGAGCAGCAGCAGAGGCAGAGCTGCTCAGGATTATGCTTATACTTCACTGTCTGTCAGGTTTTCCATTGCAAACACTGCCGCCACAGTTTATAGCTTGACCATTTCAAGCCACATCCATGCAAAACTTGGCAGAGAGGGAGCTGCTCTGGCTCAGTCCCTCCCCCTTCCACCTTAAAGAAATCTGTCAGATCCCTGCTTTAAAGTCACAACATTTCTTTTCTGCAGTAGAAATACATTTTTTAAGTCACTCCACAAGGCTTTTTTGGTTAAGGTTTAAAAGAAGTTTATGTACTTGACAGACAAGACTTACGTCAACTATTCACAGTTATTCTGAAACAACTCAGAAATGTTTAGATAGTGTTGGACCAGGCAGGTTGCTTACAGCATGCCTTTAAACAAATCACAGTCACTTCTAGCAAGAAACACAAGCCATGTAACTACAGACTTCACAGACAACATCTGTAGAGACTGTAAACCTCCTTTTTTCTCCTGATACATTTGTGACTATTGCTACATGCAATAGATTTTCCTCCCCAGCTCAGAAAAAAAGAAAGGGATAAATATTCATGAGATACAACTGCACTCTGCGTCTCTTATAATCAGAATTAAGGTCTAAAGGGCAATTTTTTTGAGCCAAGATAGGTATTTGCAGCAAAAACCAAATGCTGAAGCCTGGGAGCTGGTATATGATTGAATATCTTGCTCTGAAGTATAGAAATACTACAGCTTTACTTCAGTCTAGCAAGGCTTTCTTCCATGGCAGTTGCAGCAAAAAACAGGTTACAGTGACCCAAAGCCTTCATAACCCAGATGAAGGGTTTTGGAAATTATTCACCACATATGCTACAGTGACCTGCTTTTAAGTCATAATACTGTCCAAGTCATAACTTTTATTGGCACAATAATGAAGACAATTTATCCAACTCTTTCAGTGAAAGAGAAAACCAATTATGAGACAAGGCCCTACCAAATGGGTTTATATATATGTTTGTGTGACATATTAAAATACTATCTCTTACATGGGAAAAGTAGCACAGAGTAATACTATACTGTAAGTGCAACATACTTGAGATGAAGCTAAAGCAGCTTGATGAAAACCAGATAAGACTTCAATAAATTGTCAGAATTTTTTCCCCATTCTACCCTCTGCCCTATACACTGGCCTTTGGAAAAGCCCAGCTTACTTCCTTTCAGGAGTGCACACAATTTGGAGGCAAACATCTGAAAAGATGGTAACTCTATCTCAGGCCCTAGAAGCATGCAGAAGATATACAAGCAGGACATAAAACATGCACCATTGTTTGAAACTAGTTTTGCAGTTCCTCGAGTAAAAAGCATAGGGACATTTGACCAATAAAGAGAAGGTGTTTCTTCCCTATGAAGCCACGCAACAAAGCCAAATTAAGGCATTTCCCACTGCAGAGAACAAAAGAGCCATTAAGTGTCCCTCAGCATTAATGGGCAAACCTATTCAGGCAAGGTTTTAAAATCAAGCAGTCATCTGTGCCTTTTCATATCTAACTACCCCAAAGTACAGCTAAAGAAACACCCATATGATATGCTATATCCATGTATATACACCCAAGGAAGTTTGAGATATTGGCCCAGTAGAGAGCATCCAACATACACTGTCCAGTCTGATGGGACTTCTCAGCGATCAGCTAACAAGGTATCCAGCCATTCTGCCTTCCTTTCACAGAAGGCACTGCCTCTGCTGCAGGTGACATCCATAACACCTTACATCACCTTTGTCTGGATCAGAAGAACAAGCCTAATTTATACATCACAGCTCTTGTTTCACAACACTTGCAAGCCACCATAACAATACAGTCAGATGAATTACTACACATGTGCATAGTCCAATAATCATATTTTCTTGAAAAGTACATCCTTATGTTCTTAGAAGTCGAAATCTCATCTCCTAGGTTTGAGTTGCTTACACTAAGTAGTTTAAAAAGTTGCCACTTACAAAACTTTTCTAGTTTAATTACATGCCATTCATAGGTTCAGCTATAGCTGAAGAGACAAGAAGTCATGTTATTGAAGTCATTTGTGTGGTACCCCTAACCTAGGAGAGGGTAAGAGTATGTTTGGAGTCCTGTTCTTGGAACAACAAAACCATGATTTCCCTACCAGAACAGTTTCAACAGGATCCAAGCAAGTGATGCTCTCTCTATCACCACTCTGTGACTTGTGTTTATTTGCCTTTTTTTTTTTTTAAGATATACATATATCTATCTTATATATATATGAATATAAAGAGCAAGATCACAGCATGGAGTTCCAGGTTTCAGATTTCCTTCCTTGTATACATGGACATTAAGAAATCTGACTGCCAAGCATTAGAATATGGTTTTAAGAAGTGTATCCAAGTTCAAGGATGTTCCCTTAGAAGAGTCACATTTCTGGACCCACTAATTAAATTCAAACCCTGACATTCTCCATTTCTATCTCTCCATACTATGTGGTACAATACAATATGGTGTGAACTATGCAAGTCAGAGAGGCCACATTAAAAGAAAACACAAAGGAACTGTAACAGAAATTTAGACACTTCTTGCATTATTTAACAACCCAATTCCCATGGCTCCATAAGTCATTATCCAAGACAGGGGTATCATGAATATAAATTGCCACAACATAATCAGGCTTGCTCTGATGGCAGTAACACCCACTATTGACAATGAGGAGCCCCAGGCTTGGAAGGGAGAATGCTTGTTCACTAGTCCAGACACTCTTTAAGAAGCTAAGACATTTTCCTCTCCTTCATTTGTAACTATTGTTTAAAGTGAGGCAGATGAGCAGTTTGGTTTCTCTTAGTTTTGCAAGTGATACAGTCAGTACCCAAGAGACAGGCATTTCTGTGCACACGAGCCAGTGCATTTCCACACACGATCCTTTTGGACACCACACTAAATCACCAGCCAGCAAATAACTGCATCACTTTGAGTCAAACAAGCATGAGGCTCTCACACAGCAGAGAAATTAGCACTCCATTAAAAGAAGGAAAAAAAAAAAATACAATGCATGGTCATCTTTGTGGATAACCTGGCTCAAAGCTCTGGAAGCTGGATTTGACTCTCAGATCAGGGTGTCCTAGCTTCCCCAAGCTCTGGCGTGCCCAGCATGCTCCAGAGCCAGCCAGTTGTGAGAGCCCTGCACGTGGAGGTACCACGACGTGAGCATTTGCTTGGACGGCTCCAAATGTCAGCAGCTCCTCTGGATGAGGACACACAAGTCACGAGTGGGCTGGAAACCAGTCCTGGACAACAGCTCTGGATTAATACACAAGGAGTGCTGGAGGGAAGGAGGGGGAGCTGCCAAAGACAGGCAGTTATTCAAACCAGCTGCTAACCAACTCCAACCACTCACACGTACACAGTCTCCTGCATCAGTTCTGCCCAACTCCAAGTTACGAGGCACCCAAGAGTTAAAAAATACAAAAGGCATCTATACAAACACTTGCCAAAAGTCTCATTTTCCAAGTGGAAGCTGGTTGTTCCACGAATGGCAGAAGAAAGGATTTCATCTTGCTTTTACATGACAGCCTCTGCCTCCTCGCCTCAAAATTCCCCAATTAACACTTCTGCAAGAAGTTTTGAAACTTTGCATGGCCACGTATTTATCTACGCACATTCTCTCCCCTCCCTACTGAGCTCTGGGCCATGGGCTAGGCTGTCAAGCCAAGTTTCATCCCAAGCAATTTTTAAACACTCATCCTATAAATCCTCCGAAAAGGGAGTTAGTAATGGAAATATTGACAGAAACTTGAAGAGACAGCAAGGCAGCTATAGCAGCCTACTATACATCAGCTTCATTAGGTGCAGATCTTTCCCTCCTTCCCCTTAATTTTCCATTAGTGTACCTTGGCTAATTAATACACAAAACCTATGAAACATTCTTACAGTAGAAGGCAACATTTGGCCCCCAGCCCAAATCAACATTGAGAAACTTCAACATCCTCTGCCAGACATAGTAACTGTACCAGATGGAGCTAACATACAGCTACAAGTAGTGATGAGGAAACTGAAAGTAGAGGAACACATGCAAAAATCAAACCACTGGAAGAGGGAAAACCAGTAAATATCACTTACCGCTTTCGTTTTTCTCTATGACATCCACGACCTCTCCAGCCTGGAGGCTGATCTCAGAGTTCTCCTGCTTCTCATAGTTGGACACCACCACATATTGCTCCAGGATCATGGGTTCAGAGCTAGCATCAGCACCTGGGGAAGGGAAAAAGCAAGCCGTAAGCCAGCTTCCAGCCATGGCTCCTTGAGAGCGACCTCCGTCCATCCAATTCAGAATAGGCCAACTTGTCACCAGAGCCAAGCGAATCAGCAAACAACCTTGGCTCGCAGCATATCCCCAAATGGCTGGCCATATAGAAACAGCCTCCTCTGGCCCACAACCCAGCAGCACAGAGGGACATTGGAGAGAATAAGAAGAAAAAAGGGGAGGAAAAAAAAAATATAAAAAGAAGCCAAAAACGTGATTTAGTTGTACAGTTTCATGATGGATTCTGAAAATAAACCTCTTCCCAACATGGTTTCCACAATCCTTCTTCCCATTCAGAGAGAAAAATCCTGGGCAGAAGCAGTATAAATCCACAGCTGAGCCATCCCCCCAGAAAACCCAAAGAAAAAACAGCTCTCCCCTTGGCGGCTCAGCTCCTTCTCCACTCTAAAGGCTTGAGCTGAAAGTCAAGAGGGGGCTGTAGATGCCAATCATATTCGTCTGCACTGCAGCCCTTAAATAGAAACACATGAGCGGGACTGAAAGAGAGGGAGGTGGGGTGGAGGGAGCGAGGAGAAGGCGGGGAAGAGTGTTTACTTGAAACAGAAGAAGAAAAAAGTTATAGCGCCAGATCCCTGCTCAAACGGCCACCCCCCGCCTGCCCCCCGCCAGCTCCGCAGTTCCGCATTCCCCGCGGCAGAGCAGCCCCGAGCAGGACAGGGGCACAGCAAGCTCCTGCTCCCCCTCTCCATCGCCCCTCCGTGCCTTTTTGGAGCTCTTGGAGACACCCCCCCAGTTGTTTGGTTTCTTTTCATACCAGCTTTTGACTGTCAGAGCCGCTTATGAATGAGAGCAGGCTCTCACACAAACAGGGGCCAAGAAAGGTGCAAAATAACCGTTCTTCTCCCTTCCCCCATACTGCTGATGTTTCTTCTTGTTTGGTTGTTTTTTTGGTTTTTTTTTTATTTCTGACTTTTTCACCCCCAAACCAGAATCATGCATTTCGAGGTGGAGTCACGAGGCAGGCACACCACTGTGCCAGATGTGGAGGGAGACCTTGTGCCTCTGCTCGCCGTATGAGACGCATCTCGGCTCTCGGATGCAACATAAACAGCGCAGATGGGGCCTCTGCACTCCCGAGCCCAGGCACAGACTGATTATGCTCTGCCTGGAAACTGCCTTGAAAAGCTATGAAAACCCTGACATCCAAAAGGTTTTCTTAACCTGCCCTCATTTTATACTCTCTTCCAAGTGTCAAGACCAGAGCAAAAAGCACCTACAATTTACAACGTAAGAGTCAATGTGCCTTCATGCAAAATTATTTTACAGGTTTCCTGAATTACAGCAGTTTGGAACACCAGCATTATTATATTATTTTGCATATTAAGAGACAGTCACTCTGGATTAAGATGCAGATGTATGACTTGCTGAATGTCCCATTTCACGTGACAGGGGCAGAGCCAGGAGTTGACTCCAGGTCTCCTGAATTTCTGATGACAAATTGGCTACAAGAGAGGGGAAGGAAGCAGCATGGTCTGAAACTGTCCACCAGAAAAGTCAAGGGACTGACAGCCAAGAACAGGATGCTGGGCCCTGTATTTCCAAACCCAGGATGTTCATATGCATTTGGGCTGGAGATGCAAAGTGATTCTACAGACAAGTAATTAGTGTCCCTGCCAAGAAAGAGGTAAAGAATGCATCAGCCATTAAAACAGCATCCTGTGAAATGAAAATCCTAGAACAAAAAGCAATTAATTCAACTGTTTCCCGAAAGGAAGCACTATCACAATGCCTCCCCTTGGACCAGATTTAAGAAATCCAGAAAATTAGAAGACTTCCTTGCTCCCTAAGCGTGCCTCTGACTCTCCTCAAGTTACAAAAGTTAATTTTCTTTAAAGAGGAGTCATCTCCTCTAGAAGCTTGTGTTTAAGAGATTTAGCTTTTATATAGATAGTTGAACCACAGCCAGTAGTAGGGATAGGTAGAGAAGACCATGAACTGACAACATGGAAATTTATATTAAAATTTTCACCATAGCTGTCCATTCCAAATAAGCATTATGTTTCTCTTCATGATGAATCAACTTGACTTATGCATTCTGGTTTAAACCAGTGCTCGTTGGGTAGCCTAGAGTGCAATAAGACTCCTTCCCCTGTTTCCCACTGTTTTGCGCACAGTTCTTCATCTAGTCCAAAACGTGGCAGCATTATAACCTTCCTTTGACCTATTTATACAAGTAACACCTACAAATCCTTCCTTGTTTTTGTCTTCTTAGGTTGAATACAAGTTCTTGAAACTGAAACAAAAGCCATCATGGCTTTATGGTTATGCATGTGCACCAGCAGAGAATTCCACGTGTGGAAAAGAAAAATGAGGGACCAAACAGTGGCAAAGTGAGCAGGTGACATGTAGAAAGCTAAAGCTCACAACCTCTAACCTCCTAGACAGTTTTCATGGGAGTAGAATAAGAAAAAAAAAATCCAAAATACTGGTTTGGTGGCAGGAACAGTGTTCATGTGATGCACGTGTCCCTGCTGGGAACAAGGAGAAGACCAGGCTGGAGCACAGGCTGGCAAACACTCCACCAGCAGCCACTGAGGCCAAGCCAGGAACCGTGTGCCAGGGGAGTGCCCTTGCCAGGAAACATGGAGAATCTGCACTTCAAATCCACCACAACTCTGGCTTAAAAAGAACACCCAAAAAACCTCAAACAAACAAACCAACAAACCAAAACCAAACAACGTAAAAAACAAACAAAACCAAAACAACCCCCCAAATAAGCAAATAAAGAAAAAAAACCCAGACAAAAAAAAAAAAAAAAAAAGACACAACCCAATCACAACAGCCCAGCAAGACAGTTTTTATCTGCATACAGATATCTGAATCCAGCAAGACTTTAAAATGTTCGTTACTCCATCCTGCCCTGGATAAGCTACTCACTGCAGGAGGATTTCTTTGTTGCTACAGTGGCTGGAGGAACATATACAATTAAGAGATTGTTTTAACAGAAGCTTGTATAAGTGCTACAGGGTTCCTATTAGGACCAAAAAAATAGGGTGATAAATTCCATGGTCTAGGAAGTAACCAAGGTCAAACAAACTTGCTCATTTACAGCTACAGCAGATCATGCCTAGAGAATACCCTTCTTTTGAGAGGTGGGGTCCCTGTGGCTCCTGGAATGATGCTCACCCAGGATTAGGTACTGCACAGTGGGGAAGATTTCAGTAACAGAGCAAAGAAAGGAGGAGGAAAGACATAGATCATTTCAGTAATCAAAAGCTTTAAACATTTTCTGGGTAGCCTGGTTTATATTGTTACTACATTCCCTTCAGGCACAGTCAGTAGGGTAAAAGACTTTAGTCCTCCTCAGCCTTTCAACCCCACAAGTAGCTTTAGATGAATTACTCCTCAATGACACTTAAGATGCCCACAGCATTACTGGTACACTATGCCAGACTCCAGGCTTGCCCCCTAAAAGGGATTTGAAAGAACAAGACAGACAACACCACAGGGTGCATAGCACCAACTACACCCACTGCCATGGGCACTTCCGCATCCCTCCGATTAGTTCAGGTCTCATTTGTACCACAGGACACAGCCTGCTCAGTGTGAGCACACCAGAGAAGAGGGATGCAGGGTGGCACGAGTTCCCCAGCAAGCTCACATGCAGACTGCAATGCTGCCCTGACATGATAGCCCTACTTTTTGTAAAAGCATCTTCAGCCCAGGCAGGAGAAATAGAGAGAAGAGGACAGGATGAGACTGATGTGTCAGGTAAAGGTCCCCCCTCCTCTCCCTCCAAAAAAGCAGAATTAGTGTTTTGGTTTAGCTCCAACTTGCAAGCCCTCCCCAGAGCAGAGCACAAGACAGATTGCTGGCTGAAATAAGAGTTTGCTTGCCTCTCCATTTCTTTTTGCCTCGAGTCCGTTTTCTCGTTAATGTCTTGAGGATACCCCTCCTCCTCTCCATAGGGCTCCACTTTACAATCCTCCCGCTCCTCACCTCAGCGAGTCTCTTCCTGGGGCTGAGCAGAAATGTCATCGGAGCTCGTCATGCCCTTCACAGCTGGCACTATTAAGTGACACAGTGTCCCCCTCACCAGGCAGCGAGGAGGGAGCATCATTCCTCCTGCTGTACTCGGAGACCAGCGACTACTGCGAAAGCCTCTTAAATAAGAGCGCACAGTACCCCTTCCAACAACATCCTCCTCCTCCTCTTGTGTTGCAACAGCTAAGACCTAAGATGGTTTTGCAATAGCCAAAAATAAAAAACCACCAACTGGACTCCAAAAATAAAATCATCTGGATATGGAAATCCAAGACTCACGATCTTTGCCAGATTACTCTGTTGTTATCAGGCTATAAACATGTCTGTTCTTTTAATCCATACAGCACACAGGCTTTTATATTGCTCTTTTATGATTATCAATCAACTGTTTACAGATTAAGACTAAATGAATTAGTACTGGGCTGGTCAGTGGAAGCTCTGCAGAGGCAGCCAAAACCACAGAAACGGTCAGTGAATGCCATAAGGGTGACTCACAGCTGAACAACCAACTGGCAGGTAGTCCAGTTCTTCTGACATGGGCACAGCTGAGGACACGTGCAGGGTCTGCACATGGGGGGGTCTGGCAGACCCGTCCCCAAGTGTTCACGGCATTCCATATGATAGTGTCAGAGCTCTGCACTTTTCCATGCATAGGGAGGAGTAACTGTGGTAGCTCGGCTCTAGAGCTGCGGTTTCTTGTTAAAGCCAGTTCTTGAAGGGCAAACCTTTATGAATCTCTGGAAAAGTCCTTTAGGGGAAGGAGGAAGACAAAAAAAATCCCAGAATAGCAGCAAGCCTACTTACAATCCTCAAATCTGTCTAATTCCTCACAGCAATCATCCATCCAGCTTCTCCATAAAACCTTTACCTCCTTTCTTTCTTATCAGAAGGACCACATGACTATGATAAATAAACATACTTAAAATTACATGTTTTCTTTGTGCCTCCACTAGTGATTTATCCCAAAGTATTTTAAGATCGAGAGCTTAGGTCTGCCTAAAAATTGGTTTAAGTGTCTATTGCACAAAAGATAAAACATACTTTGACATGTAATGCACCCAAAACTATACAAGAGTTCATGATCTTGCAGGGGTCTTGGAAAAAGAGTTCCTAAAATAACCAGTTCCCAGAGTAAGCAGTAGGATGAGACTGATGAAGTCTGCTACAAATCTCTTTTGGGGACAATATGGATTCAGACCAAAACTGTGTTCCTTAGTCTAAGATCTCTTCTATTCAGTGAGGGTTTTTTGTCTTGTTTCGGTGTTTTGGATTTTTGTCCTTTTAACATTCTTAAGGTGCCCTAAGCAACTGGGGCTTTGACTCATATCCTGGATACCCCTGCACTCCAGTATGTCACTATTCAGCTCCCTTCCCAAAATTAAGGATACATTTACACATCTATTATTCCTGGAGGTAAAAGACCACTCACAGCTTGTGGCAATACAAAAAGGGATTCATCTCCCAACCCTTCCACCAGAGAGCAATCTCCCCCAATCCTAGAGTTTAACTTCAGAGCTCATCAGCTCTTGGTATAGCAGTCCTGAGCCACAAAGCTTTAGGGACAGAGACAAAAGTTCATCACCACCCATAGCTACTACAGAAATTCAGTACAAGTCCAGTCTCAAGGTCTTAGCAATAAAAGAGTCCTGGCAAAAACCCCTCTGCCACATTATAGAAGAAAATAAATACTTGGGCAAGTCTATCAAATGGTTATTAATACACTATAATTTCTGTAATTTCAGAAACGGGTGACACCCTGCTATTCAACAGAAATGGAGTGGAAAACAGAAAGGGAATGGTTTTGATCTGACCTCTTAAGTAATTCAGAAGACCCAAAGCCAGAGAAGTTTGGCCTAAAACCCTGTCTGAATCCAAAAGAATGTCCAAGAATAAAATAGGGTTGAGCATTATGCACCCAGTGATGGTCAGGTCAGCATGCAAATCCTCTCACCCTGGGTTAGCAGCCATGATTAATGTACTTTCTCCCTAAGTGAGCATCCATCCTTCCTCAACTCCACATGTGCTCTGCAAGCCTTTCAGTACCTGGGGCAATAGCCTCCTTGCAGGGCAGCCAAAACTCCAGCATTTCTTGTTATCTTTTTTGGCTAAACATGCCAAAATCTGGTCTAGATGGTAACTCCATGAGCTGCATTAACTCCCTCCTGGCCCCCTGGAGGGGTGAGCCACACAAACAGCATGCATTGCTACCAAGTAGAGAGTATGACCACCATTCACAGCAGCAGAAAATTACCCCGATGCCTGGATTCATCCCCCAGCAAAAGACACACGTAGTATTTTCCAGCATTTGAAGAACCAAGATCTGGGTAAGCCTTCAAGAGTTTGGGACAAGTGGTAGTTTTAAGGTAGGCCATGGTTTCCAGCACTGGTGTGTGTGTGTGATGTACAGCTAAAACCAGCAGCAAAACACAGCCCCTAAGGGGAGGGCCTCAGGAATGAGCTTGGCCCATGGTAAATGGCAGGCACTCTCTCAAGCAAGTGCTCCAGTTCAGTTCTTCCTTCTTCACAGTCCTCAGCAGCACTTCCAACAAAATCCTGAAAAATTCAGTGCTGACCTTTGCCAAGTGGAGACTATTAGTCTCAGGATTTCTATTTTTTATTTTTGGTCTGCTAGGTTTTAAAACTGAGCCAAGAAAAATTAGAAGCAGGAGGGTGAAAGTAAGGAGTCCTCTTTCCACTCCTTCTTGGAAAGTTGGCTCTCCAAACAGTGATTCCAACCAACTAGGTTACAGGTAGCAACAGTAAAGAATACTTAAGTATTTGCACACAAATCTGTTAAACTGCTTGGAGATTCTCACACAGCTGCCAAACTGGGTCTTCCACCAGGCTGAAGTCACCTATATACTATTTGCCCTAGTCCTGCTCAATAGTTCAACACATGGCATGAAGCAGAGTAGCCAAGGAGTTTAACAGCAGTCAGGGTAGCTCATACAGTGCCCCACCACAGCACCTCTCAGGGTGTGGTTGTATGGCACCCATCTTTTTCCAGAGTAGGAAATTAAACCACTTGCAATTCTTGGTTAGACTCTCCACTTCATGGAGCAGGTTCATGACCTCAGCTACAGCTTGGGCAGCATGAAACTGTCTCCAAGCCTAAGACACATGTGAGTTTTTACTACATGGGTAAAGATCATATCTAAATTCAAGCCCGCTTTGCCAGCTAGACACATCAGGATACAGCCCACAGCAGATCTGGACTGAGGAATAGCTGCTTTGGAAGCTGGGAATTCGTTTGGATGAGAAGCAAACTGAAAGGCCACATGAACTAGAACAGCATGGAGAGTTAAGAACCTGCCAAATGTACATAACACTTCTGAGCAGCACCATATATCAACATTCACCTTCTTGAGCACCATGCAATGCAATTAATCACTTATATTTGCACTATCATCACACACAGATTTTTTTTTTAAGCCAAACTAGCAACATGCATTTAGCTAAAAGCAGTCAGCAGATGGGAAAAAACTCGTATTTTGCTTCCTTGCCTTTTAAGAAGGCTAAAAACCTTGGCATTCAGTTTGCCAATTAATATGTAAACACAATTAAACAGTCTCAACAGATGTATTGAGTCAAAGAAACCCTACCTCAGCCCCCAGCCAGGTAATCTGCAGGGTTCTTGTCATTTTTCCTAAGGGACACCACCTCTTCTGTCTCCTCCTTGACATGTTTCTCTCCTGCTCAGTCTCGTTCTCTTTCTGTCTCAACTTCCCAGTGACCTATCAACCAGCAGGTTCCTGTGACTAAATACTTCAGATATTTCTGCACTTTTATATCCAGCTACCACCCTGAAATTAGACCTATTCTGCTATGATGAGGCAGAACACCCCCTCCCCCCCTCCAAAATTACCCTCAACTTCTGTCAAGAATAGTATTTCTGGAATCACAGCAGTATTACTCACCAAAAACTTCAGGCAAGTAAGCACTCATCCACTGAGGACGGTGGGATTTTGTTCCCATACTTTGAACAGGGCATGAACTTGAATATTTACCAAATGTGGTATGGAAAGCAGCAGGAGCATTTCCATCTTTCCTTGCCTCAAGACCCATATGTAGCCTTAAATGACAGGGTGAACAGCCCAGCATCCCGTGCAGACAGAGTCTATCTCTTAGTTTTTGCCTTGTATGGGTCTACTTCTCCTCAGACCTTGACACCTCATCTAGAAGTTCCCCTGCTCTCATCCTCCTTCCCAACTCCTTGCAAGAAGAAGAGTGATGTTCCTTTGAAAATTTTGCAACTTTGTCAGAGTCCCATCTTATTCATATAACACCCTTTCTACTTATTGTGGAAGTGCAAAAGAGCATTTCAGAAGGATAGGGAGCATGTAGTCATGTCTCTCTGTCTCTCTACTTTGTCTTGACTCATAAGATTTCTCAGTTTTGCTCCTCTTCTTTTCTCATCCATCCCACATAGAGTAGTGAGAGTGCAGCTGTGCAGGTACTTAGCTGGGACCAGGATCAACCCACCAAAGAGGGGAAGCTGCCTTGGATTGTGGTTTTGAGTTGGGCAAGGAAAATAAAACACAGTAAAATTCCAACCACTGCTAGCAGCAACACCAAGGTGAGGTAGTCACCAGAAAAGCAAAGCCCTTCCTTTATGAGAAGTCGTGCAGCACAAAAAAAACAATTTTTGTGACAAGACAACACATCCTGGTATCCACTGTCAGAGACTCACCTTCAAGATAACTCCAAAAATCACACACAGTTCGAACTACAGAATTCTCTTTTTAATAGCATGCAGAACACCAAGATGCAAGAATTTACCTGGAGCGACGCTCTTTTTTGGAGTCTCAGACAAACTGGACATCCAAACTTGAAATCCAATCACAGGGCAGCCAGGAAAACAGAAAGTAATTAGAGACACAAGAAAACAGTTAAAAAACAGTCTGAGAGTTAGTAAAGACAGCTTTGAAAGATACATTAAGTTTTTCTTCAGAGTAGTGTTGGCATGATGGGTACTCAGAGGAAGGTCAAGTCATAAGAACCACCCAGTTAATTTTTATGTGTTAGGGGATTTGCAGAACTGAGGAAACTGATCTGTAGGTGACCCAATTCTGAGATCTCAGAACAGGATATTTCCTGAGCTTATTCCCAATAGGACTGGGAACACATACCAAGAGACAGTTTGACTTATGAAGCCTCAGATCTGCAAAACTATTTAGCTTTGCAGCTGTTAATGATCCCCAAAAGACCAACAGACAACTCACAGAGACTGAGCTTAGCAAACATATGTAAGTTTCTACAAACATCTTGTTACCCTGGAATAACATTAAGAAAAATAACAATAGACAAATAATGCTCTCCGGAAAAGAGTACAAAGCTCCAATAAAGGTACACTCAAAGTACGACTACAAGTTCCATCCTTTTAGCCAATGTTTATGAGACAAAGATCCAGTTAAGGAGAAAGTTAATGGGATTGCTACCAACAATGTCAAAAGATTTCCCTCCCTCTCTGTGAAATGGGACATAAATACTTGGCTTGGGATTCTGGAGACAACTTTCTAATATTAAGTGTTGTCTTTTTTCTTGAATGCACTGGAAGCATGTTTTAAAACTTACAAATGGGGGTAAGCCTGCTAAGTAAGAACCAGCAAGCATTCCCCTTCTGTGGGATGAGGGAGCAGAAGGGCAGCTGTTACTCCCATATTGCATGGGAGAGGAGGTGGAAGAGAGGTGTTTATATGACAATCTAAGGATTTTCTAAATCTGATAAGCAGCTCCAAAATGAAATTTGAAAAAAACCTATTTGCAATGAGGAGCCATGTTCTGGAACTATCAGTTTAATAACAGAGAAGACGCACCCTTCAATCACTTGGAGAGAGAGGCAAGCTTGTCTACTTGACTTGTTACTGTCTTCTGAACTGCAGAATATCTCCAAGACAGTCAAACATCAGGAACAGATTCTTAGTAAATACATAACTGAGAAATTACTAGCATGATACAAACCTTAAGAAACAGTTTTCAAACTTTCCCAGTGGAAACCAGAAGTCCAAGAAACACATTGCTGCGTTTCCTCAGCACTAAGGGAATGGTGAGGTTTTGAAATCCTTTCTTCAGATCAGAGACACAATTTTCATTGTGTAGAACAAAACTGGAATTCAAATGGATTCAGTATTTCGCTTATTTTACAATAAGCTTTCTATAGTGGCAGCCTTAAAAAAAAAAAAAAAATCTGAAGTCTTTCAACCACCTAACTCCCAAACCCATGCACTGCACTGTCACAATACACTACAAAAACTGTGGTAAATTACAATAATTTACTTTGGACTACCATTTAAGAAAGAATGAAAAGGGCTCTGCATTGGTAGAGTACAACAGGAAATCATCTGGCAGAGTAACTTGTGGTGCAGCTTATAGAGGGAATACACTGCATGTTTCTATTACAGACTCGGGGCATGCACAGGAAAGGGTGTGAAGGAGTTGTTGTCAGCAACTTGTCTATTAGCTTTTGAATAGACTTCCACTGCCTTCAGGAACAGGATTATGAACTTCAGTCAGCTGTCAGATCTTTTTCCAGACAGAAGAACCTGAGTACAGCAATGATAAATCAAGCAGATGATGTATTGCAGGAGCAACTGGGAAGATTTCAAAGTACGCCCCAATCCAAGCTAGCAACAAAATCCTGAAACACCCAACAATTAAAGACAGAGGTATTAAGCTGCACTAAACATAAGCTCAGAGCTACCCTAGATCTGTGTGCCCAAGAAGAAAAGGAGTTTAAACCTAGATCCACAGTAGCCATATCTACAAATATCCCACGTGAGATCTCAAAGAACCAAACTCACCATAAAAAACCAATTCTGTTAGCCATTATCAATTTTTTTTAAAAAAAGCCAATATTTTTTAAACAAGTATTTTTTTCTCCTTGTCAAAACTAAGCAAGAATAAAAAGGCAATATAAGTATTAGTTGGTAAATGATCCTACAGATCCACAATGTGGGCTTCTCAGCCCAGGAAGCAGCACAAAAGCAGCAGCACTTCTCAGCTGCTCCAGCCTGACAGCAGCTAGATGTGGATGAGGTTGCTTCTGAAGCAGAAGACAGCCAGCATATTTCAGCTGCTCCTGCACATCTGCTTAGCATTAAACTTCCTTCTTGGGATTTTTTTTTTTTTTATTCCAAGACGTTTAAGCTCTAATTGCTACCAGCTTTTAAGAGTCCCCCCTACAAATAATAAAAATATCAGACATTAGTGATAGATTCCACTTCACAGAGAGCTCAAACGAAGAGCCGCGGCAGGAGCCAGTGTACGGGGAGGAGGTCAAAGGCCCCAGAAGCATGCTGTGCCCAAGCCAACAAAACACAAGCTTTGAACGGCCCTGGGTTTTCCCTTTAGGACAGGGTTTTACTGGAATTCTGCATGGGGCTTGGAGCTGGTTTCCAATGGGATTGGTAACGGTAAACGAACAAACCCTTGCTTCCTGCCACTCCTCTCCCCTGTTGCCGCACAGCTGAGCACTGGCTGGTCTTAGATGACTTGGAGGGGGAGGGAGGGAGATCTCAGTATTTAGAAGGGAAATAAAAGTTGCCTGAGTAAGGCAACGGCATCCCAATTCTGCTTCAAACATCAGTCCCCAAACCCCTTGTTGCCGGCTTCAGCTGGAGCCAGAACAAACCCCTTCAATCGGAATTATTTTTAAAAGCTCAAAAGAAACATGGATCCATAAATTACTGCTAAGCCACAGGGCCAAGGCAGTTGTGATGGGCACAGAGGAGGCTTTCCTTCGGAGCCACACTGCACAGAAATAGCAGCAGAGCAGGCGTGTCACTGGAAGGAGCTGCTGAACCCCCATCTCATCACTTCCAAGCTGCCAGTACAGAGCTGGGCAAGTCACAGACAGATCAACTGACTTCCTCAGGTGTGAAAGAAAAGGAAGAAGTTGGATGGGTAAAAAAGCTTTAAAGACAAAATTTAGCTGGTTGCTGTGGTGAACATGAAACAGATTATTTTAGATTTCACGAGAAGCTTTTCTGCTGCCAGTGAGACTGGTTTGTTTGCTGCTCCTCCCACCACTGGCAAGAGAACAGGCGCCAGACTGCTGGAGACTAATGCTTTATGCTTGTGATACAGCCCCACTCATCTCATTTTAGCAGCAGACTATTTGTCTTGTGTGCAGTAAGAGCAGAGTGAGCTTCCAGAAAAACCTACAAAAACTGAAGCCAGCCTACAGTCAAATGCATGAGCTCAATGCTACTGAAATCCAGGAGATGCCACATTCATGGTTCACACCAGTACTGCACATCCAGCTGGGTCCCTGCCCCAGCAGGTGCAGAGAAACTCCTCAACAGGCATTTTAGCAGCAGCTACTGATGCAGGTTTCCTTTTGTTAATAACACTGCCTAAAATGTTAAGTTCAATGTTGAGTCCAGGATCCATTATTTAATACTGCTGTCAAGGCCAGAAGGGATACTCTCCTAAAGATTCACAGGTTGCATGTCACTGGGCCTATAAGGGACTTTTGTAACAAATCTTTTTTTTAAACTAATGTATGGCTGTCCAGCCTGTTAAGCTACATATTTTCCAATGATATTCCTGCAGTAATTCCAGGGAATTGGATCATCCTAGTCATGTGTCTCAGTGTGATTGTAGTTCTGGCTATGTAGCCCTTGCCCCAAATGATTTCTGTGCGTAACTGAGTAGTTAGCATGGGCCAAAGACAGGTCCCAACAAGTGATCTGGATGTGGCTACCTTGCTTTGGAGGGCAAAGAGTTTAATTACACAGGTGTGACCTATTCCATAGAAGATGCCTTCCATAGGAGTAGCATTCCTAAGTCCATTTAATTAATACAACTCTTTTGTTTTAATGAAGCTCTACCTTAAACATCAACTGGGAATACTAAACTCTCCCAGCTGTTAAGGTGCATCTTAAATTACCATGAAAACAATTATGAGAACGAGCAGCCATGCTGAAGAGATGCTGACATCTGAGAGACAGGAGCTTTCCAACAGTGATCAGTCCTGTAGGTCATTAGTCCTCTCCATGACGAGGTACTATTGGCTCTGTTACTCAAGGACCACAGTGGTGAGCACTGCTGACTGTTTTGCAGATTTATTTTCCTGACTTTTACACTTCCTGGTTTAACTGGAAGGTTGAAAAGAAATTTAAAAAACCCAAAACCAAACAACCCCCTCCCAATATAATCAGTGATTCTTCTTTATTTCCCCCCTGGAGTTGGGGGAAATAAATGCTGCTTCTGAAGAATGAGGGTGCCCTCATCCCAACAGTGCTATTTGGTAAATCAGCAAGCAGTAGGCTGACCATGCTGTTCCTTAGAAGTGTCCACTTCACAGAACTGGCCTAGAACCTTGTTTGCTGCAATGTTCATGACGTGTGGCAGAACAGAAAACAGAAATTAAGCCTGTATTTCAATCTACATTTTGGAAGACAAGCCTGCTAAAGAGTTAGTATAAATGAAGCGCCATGTTGTCCTGGGAGCTCAGGTGGGACACCTTACTGCCCCGAGCTGGTAAGGAACCCCAGAGGGCCAAGCTCAGTCTAGTCAATACAGAGCTTCTTGCTGGGATTTTACCTCCAACAACATCCTCCTCCTCCTGACAAGGTGAGGCTGGCCATCCACACAACCAAGAGCAGAAAGCTCAGTGAGGAACCCATACCCTTGTGAGTAACTTCCAAAACCTTCGTCCCCCAGACCCATTGACAATCCTTTGTCTGCCTGCTCCAGGTTTCTCTCCCCTAGCCCCTTCCCCTTCAGATGGAGCTTGACACTTTGGTTAAATGGGAAGGCAGTAAGATGCAATAGTATTAGACTAGGACAGGGAGAGAGCAATACTTGATGTTGCTAACCTCCCC